TATAAAAAATAAAATGTTATGAGTTTAACTTAAAAGTCAGACATTTTTTGTTTCCTAAGGTTTTCACTTTAAAAATGTGTCATAAATTCCAATCTCACTCAATTTCAAAATTTCTTCAAGTTTTCTAGGCACACAGATGTTTCCTAAACTTCCTGTTTTTAAATTTGGAAAAAGGTATGAATTTGCGCAACATACAATGAAAAATGCAAAAACAATTTATTGAAATCAGACAAAAATTTACAAAAAACTTTTTGCTTATTCCCATGTGCTAAATTAATTTTTCATTATTTCTGGATGTAAAAAAACTTTGAAATTTGTAAAATTTCATTGCACATTCAACAAAAATTTTACAACTGAAATTTCTCCAACAAATAAAATGTTATGAGTAGGTAAAGTTAAAAGTTGGAGATTTTTCATTTCCTGATGTTTTGACTTTGAAAATGTGTCATAAATTCACTTTTGACTCAATTTAAAAATTTCTTCAAGTTTTCCAGGCGCACACATGTTTCCTAAATCTTTGTACAAAAAACTTTTGTGTTTTTTCACATGTAATAAATTCAATTTTAAATAAATGTGGATAAACAAAAAAGCTTAATTTGTACAACATCTTTGACCTCAAAATCTGGTAAAAATCTAGAAAGTTACAGGCAGTTGAATGAAAATAATAAAAAATGTTATTAATTTTCCAACTGTAAAAATTTGTGAAACTCTGAATTATTCACGGAAAATTAATTTCTTTGCAGCAATGGAAAAACAATGCAGTTTTCTAAATTTTGTTCCCTTAAATTCTGCAAAATGTTAAAATTTAAAAGAGTTACAATCAAAAACACATAAACATTTTCTTGAGATCACACACAAATCAACAAAAAATGTATTGTTTTTCCATTTGTACAAAATTCATTTCTCCGAATTTCTGGATGAGCAAAAATTTTAAATTTGTAAACATCTGTGTGCTTAGAATCCTTCAATAAATTTGGAGATTGCATGAAAAGAAAAATAGTTACAGTGAGTTGAATGAGAAAAAACTGGATATGTTGTTTCCAATATTTAAAATTTTAAAAATTGTGAAACTGTGGTTTATACACCAAAATTAATATCTTGGCAGCATTGGAAACATAATACAGTTTTATAAATATCCCTTTTTAAATGCTGCAAAATGTCAAAATGTTACAAACAAAAACACAGAAACATTTTCTTGAAATCTTATCAGGACAATCAACAAAAAACATTTTGCTTTTTCACATGTACTAAATTCATTTACTGTATCCTCATTTCTGGATGAACAAAAATTTTTAATTTGTAAGACATCTTTGTGCTCAAAATTCAAGAGGAAATTTTGGGATTGCATGAAAAGAAGAATAGGTACAGGGTGTTGAATGAAAAAAAAACATGACATATTTGAAGGACTGCTACAGGGAAGATATTTTGAATCCAGGTCAAATTGCAAGACATTGTAAAGGTATTCCTAAAATGCTGAACATGATGCCCAGGTGTGGGTGGGGCACAATCAGCTAGTTTTGTGTAAAATGGTTAGCACTTTCTAAACGGAATAATAAATGCAGTGAATGAGCAAGCATTTAATGCTATCTTATCAGTTTTTCTTTTTGGAAGCCTAGTTCGGGTTCCGGATATGATACAATTTAAATTTTGCATAAATGCTTTGAAGGATTATAGTCAGTGAACCAAGGGAAAGTAGAGTAAAATGAGTGGTTTATTTGCATCATTGGTGGTTGTCTGTCTTGCTGCACTTGCACGTGCTCAAGATGAACAGCCCATGTGCTACTGCGATTTCGCATATTTTTGCGAAGACGGACCAGGAAATCCTGCAAATATCATTTATCAGTTGGACAGCAAAATAGGATCATGCACTGCAACCCTGGAATGTGAAGCTTACTGCCGATCCATAGTCAGTGACCATTTGTATAATTTTATTTTCCACGAGTTTTTTTTTTTTTTGCGAACCGAATTTGGTATTAATTTTTATATGTCTTGCCCCTTTTTTAGGGAAATCAAGTGCAAGATTTGGATTCCCTGGTGACAATTGACCAGGAAGGAACTCAGCAACCAGTTGGAGAAATCGCTTGTGCTGCTGTCACTACTGCTTATAACAGGGATGTGAGTAAACAAAATCATTGATTTGAAGTCATGGATAACGTTGATGTGATTGCTAAGGGATCCATAATTGGTCCTGTGATTGTCAATGTGAAATATTCAAACAATTTTACTGATAACTTTAAAAAAATCCTAATTTAATTGTATACGTAGCGGATTTATTCAGGGTTTCATTAAAACGAGTTTATATATTTACTAAGATGAAGAAAAATCGTCATTAAAAATAACCCTCAAGAAAACAATTTTTTAAAATCAGATGTTCACTCCTTCAAGCCCAGATATTTTGGACCATTCAACACATGTTCAAGTATAATAAGTAGGCAAAGAGAACGACAAATAATCACGCACAGCAGAAGTGAGAACTGTTCTGAAATGTAATTAAATTGTACTGTACTTCAAAACCTGCCTTCAGATCTATGTGTTATTTTAGAAACACAGTAATACCGTATATTTTTAATGGAGAAATCTTGAGCCAAATTCAGAGAATCTGGAACTTTTAGAGAAAACTGTGAAAATAATGAAGAATTTGCTAAAAGTTTGCTATACAGAACATGGAAAATGCAGCGTTGAACATGTTGAAGTCTTTAATTGTGTTTCTGCCTGGACCTTTGAAAAACTTTCGAGTAATGATAATATAATTTTAGTTAATATTTTTTTGAAGGCTTTGAGTAAAAATTACAACAAAGCTATCTTTTTTCTTTGCAAAAGTTTACGTGAAAGAATGCTTCTGAGAATCAGCTTTGGAGAAAATTAAGTAGTTCTGCCTCCAAAACCAGAAATCGAATATTTTTTTCTTTCACGCAGAGGAGGCTGCCTTCCATTGACAATGCAAGCGAAATTTTTACATGTACAGGTTATCACAGGATGAAAAATATGTTCGAATGAAGTAAAGGATGAGTTCATGGAAGTGTACAATACTGTACGGCCTGACACTTCTATATAGGGCACCTCCTCCCCCATCTCTATCCACAGTAAAACCCCAAACATTTGCTGTGACAAGATTACTGTACGAGGGTTCTAACAAAAGTTCTCAGAATGAAAATGAAGATGGCGTCTAATCGAGCTGGGAAAAAATTATTCTTTAGGGCAACCATATTCTTTGGCACAAAAAAACATCAGCCCAGTTTGACAATTTTTTTCAATTTTTTCAAAATTTACCCTGGCAGAGTTTTGCTATACACTCAACAGATGAGGCACCCTTCCTAAAAAAATTGTCAAACTGGGCTGATGTTTTTTTGTGCCAAAGAATATGGTTGCCCTAAAGAATAATTTTTTCCCAGCTCGATTAGACGCCATCTTCATTTTCATTCTGAGAACTTTTGTTAGAACCCTTGTATATTGTTGAAATAAAAAATCCTTCTCAGTTAAACCCCCAATATACAGTTTAGACATTGAATATGGACAATTTGATTCAGTGACACTTGGAACTGAGAAAATCTGCCCCCAATATATGAGCAGTATCACTCAAGATATGGACACTTTTCCAAGATTTCTGGAAGAATCTGAAAATTTGATCATCAAATTTTCATATATCTTGGAAAAATTGAGCTATTGAATATTCAAATTCTAAAAATAACTTCCATCACCTAATTATCCTAATTCATAATCAAAACAGGTTTGTTGTGTGCTTCTTCAGTTTTTCAGTTTTTTTTCCATCATGTGTGCTCACTGCTCAAGTGCTCAGTATAACAAGACTTGTTTATTGTTCTTGAGCTCCTTCTGGTACCAAAAGATCAGAGTCTGTGTGATTTTCTTCTGTACATTCATTTTGTGTATTATCAAGTTGAAAAGAAAAATTAATACATTTTGGGGGACCTCTTGATTATTTATCTACTTCAGAACCAATTAACTGTTGTGCAACAAAGTTGGGATATTTTTGCAAACTTTTGTCCCCATGAAAATTAAAAAATACAATTTTTGAGCCAAGGCGTAAGTCAGGAAAATTCCAATTTTTTGTACAATCCTGCAGAAACTTTTGGCTAAAAAAAAATCCTCCCTGGAGAAGTTTTTTTCATTCATTTCCTGCATAGGATTAACATTTGGGATTTCTTGAGACAAATGGGATTTTCTGAAACCTGGATTTTCCCAACTTAGGCCTTGGCAACCTGGGGGCATTTCAGTGACCTTGGGTCAAACTGAAAGCCCCCCCCCCCCCCCAAGATCCCAACTTTGCCACAGGATGGCCAAGAACCCTCCAACATCCAAGGGTTAAAAATAATCATAGAAAAGTTTATTGGTGAATAAAGTCCAGCATGCGGATGTTCTGAGGTAGAGAGACAATGCCCATGCACCAGTTACATCCACATCTTTTGACTCCACTTTAAACAGTAATTTCAAAATCCAACTTCCAATTTTTAAGAAATGGGGCCACCTTCAACTATAACATCTTCCATATATGCCTTATATTTTCTACAAGCAAAGGATTGTGAGCAAGAAAAGGGTATTGTTTTTCCTTGTGATCCCCAGAGATAAGCACTACTCATACTGTCCCCTGCTACATTCCTCTTTTTTTATTGCACCAGGTGGCGCTGTATGCCAAAGTCTGCGACAGGGAATGGGTCTACACTGGACTGCACTCCAACACATTGCTCTGCTGCGTCGGAGGATTCTACTTATACTGCAACGAAGGAGCAGAAGCACAATGCGACATCCGCGCGTAATTTGATCCCCCGAGAAAAAAAAATACAAAACAGTCCCAAAACATTTGCTCCCAAATAATTTAAAAAAAGGAAAAAAAAAGAGAAGATGCGACGCGGTCTTTGTCTTCAGTGTCTTTGTGTGTGTGTGTGCCTTTTATAGTTGCACATGATGCAAAAACACACAAGACCCATCAGTGTCAACCTTGATCCCAATAAAGCCATGGTCTGAGGGAAGGATAGAAGCCCACTTCGTTACTGGGTGTTCATCCTAGCGGATTGCTGTTCAGGGTGATGGTGTCAAGATATTCTGTGGTGGTGATGGTGTCAGCAGTGGCACTGGGCTTCCTGCTTGTGGTGTCTTCCAGCGTTGTTGACGTTACTTTAGCGGAAGGGGCAGTGATTAGGCCGAAGGGATTGGAGGGTTACTTTGAGACCCCGAATTACTCGTCCAGAAGAGCCAGGTTTCGTTATCCCAACAACAGGGACGAAGAGTGGAGGTTTTCTTTACAGAAAGGTGGAGTATCAGTGATGTGCTCCTGGAAGCAACTACATTTGAATCTCTCCAAGTAAAATTTGAAAGGGACCAACAAAGTAATTCTACTCAGAGGGGAGGTTTTGAGCTATATAGAAGTACACAAAATAGCGCTTTCCTAGGTCTTAAATTGCTTTTAAAATGAGTTGACATATGACACTCAACTTGGAAACAGAGGTTCATTTGCCCAATTTCGTCTGCAAAATCCTTTCAAAACACATCAAATTCCATTTTATCACTTTTTATTTATTTCTTGATCCAATAAAATAATAGCTTAAAGGCCTAAAAAATTTGCCTTATAGAGGCTTTTAGAGGAAGAACCTTTGAGTTATGGAGGTTTTTAATGTATTGTTTCTAAGGGAATTCAGATGAGGATGTAAAAAAAAGATTCAGGGAGGTAATTGACTTGAAGAGTTTTGACTTAACAAGGTTTCAAATGATCAAGAAGTAAGGTTACTTTTTATGATATGAGGGATGGTTCATAAGTTCTAAGAACAAGTACTAAATGTCACTGCTGTGATTGTTCCATGGAACCCAATAGAATTCTGTAACAAAAGAATGTCAGTCAAAAATTATTTGATTTAGGAAAAACAGCACAATCATGGTGGTATAAATGATGACAATGTGCTTTCCTCATATTTTTAAAACACAGAGAATACAGATGGACACTTTCTACTAAGCAATTAAAGGACCAGAAACATTCTTCAAGGACAGAATTTTCTTGCAGAGAATCCCATGAGGGAAAAGGACATTTCTTAAACCAAGAAAATTTTTGTAGGCAGGCTTTTTGTGGAGAGATTCCACCTGTATTATTAAGATAAATCTCATTTCAACAACTTATTGTTTAGAGGGAATTAATTTTTGAGGTCCCTCCAGCATGGCCACAATATCATTTGAGACTTTTCATACTGTAACACATTTTTTGTCACAACAATTTTTCTGGCCCAAGAGTTTTGTTAAGAATATTTAAGAAGATAAACTTATTATAAAATAAACAGTGAATATTTTATAATAAATGAGTGACATGCAAAAAAAAATTTATACCCAGTTATAGCTGACAGAGAGTGGGTGTTGAGAGTGGCTCACCACTTAGTACAGGTACTGTGAACAACCTATTACAGATTAAATTATACCAGTTAGCTCATTTCAGCTCACTTGTTCTTGCGCCCAGTTGTAACCTGCTTTCAGTTGGGTAATGCTCACACAAATAGGCCATTAGATTGCACTTACTTCAATAAACAAAACAAAGTCCTTATTAACTTTACTTACATTTTAAAGGCTGTTACAACAAAATTCTAGTGCCCTAAAAATTTTTTTTAAACAAGATGTTTGTTGCATAAAATTGATGATAATTTTTTTATCTGAAATAAGCTATCATTTTCTTCAATTTTGAACAAATTTCTGGAATGAGAAATAGAAAAAAAGTGAAGAATGAAAATTTGTTCTGCACAGCTACACATGTAATTCTCACAGCATAAGTCCAGAGACAATTTTTCATTTGTATAAATAAGTTCATTCATTTCCATAAGTATGAGGAAACCTTTTGAAATGGCAGGAAAAACATAATTTGGTGTACCACTTTACTGAAATTTTGTTCAAAGAAAATGCAGTTGAAGTTCTCCCCATCCAATTTGAAGGGACCAGCAAAAAAATCAACTTGGGGAGGTCTAGAGTTTTATAGAATTCTATATGTTTTACTGATAGAATCAAGCATTTCTATTGTGGGAAACATTGAAGAATTGCACTAAATTGTACATTGTGGTATTCTGAGCCTCAAATTGCTTCTTTGACAAGGCACTCAACTTGGAGACAGGGGTTCATTTGCCCAATTTAGTCAACCACATTCTGTTAAAGCATATCAAAGTCCATTTTTATTGTTTTTTTCTTTCTGCTTCCAAAAAACTGATAACCAATAGGCCTACAAAATTTGACTCATGGATGAAGTTTTACAGGAAAAGCCTTCAAGTTAGGGAGGCTTTTAATGCATTATTTCTAAAGAAATTCAGGCAGGGACACATACAATTAGACTTGGGGAGGTATTTGACTTAGAGAGGTTTGACTTAGCAGGGTTCAACTGTACAATAGAATCATATTATGACAACACTCATTATAAAAAAACTTTGTCCCTGCTAGTAGTTTTTCTCCACAAACAACACTTTCATACAAATGCAGGTTTAATAGAAGGAAAGTACTATATATTTCAAACATTGTCTCCTCCTTTCCTCCAAAATACTTGATAAGTATGATACATCTTGTTTCTTGAAGCATCTGTTTGGGAATAGCACTTTACAGTGTTCATTACCTATCCCCCACGAAAAAAATCGTATAAAATATGTGTTGAAATCATGAATCTGCATTCAAAAACATTTTCATTGCCACGAATTTGTCAGCAGGTCTTTGACAGTTCATTGTACTGTACTGTAATAACATTTTACTGTATATTTAACACTGTGTCTAAGCAATTCTGTCCAGGACATTTGAAACAAAATTATTGTGCTGACTACTGCTGACAAATTGTTCATGAGGGTATTCTTTAAAACAGACTGAGATCAGTAGCTTTTCGGAAGGTCAGAACGATTATTCTTCTCGCTAAAACAATGAACGTGATATGCTTCTCTCTTTTTTCATTGTTTTTATATTTTATTTTTAAAATCTGTCCAGGGGAGAGCATAAAGTTCATTCAAACTGGAGAAACAGTCCAGTTCGGATCCGATGACTACATGAAGCTATTTGTCAATGAAACTGACATGGGCCGATTCTCCACCAGCAATAGCAGCAAAATATGGGCTACAGTCAATTCACCCGATGGATCAACATCCGTTTCATTGCGGTAAATCCACAGGGGTTCTCTTGAACCCGACTTCCTTCTTGAATCTCCAAAAGTACCTGGTGATCCTTCTATGTGGAGTGTGTAATTATTGAGGAGCCACCGTAGTTTTTAAATTTTCTAATAATGATATCATGTACCAACTTGTTCAAGTACAGTGAGACCCCAAAATGCAGACACCCCAACATGAGGAAAATTTGACTTAGGGACTCTTAGAACTGAAAAAAACTGGCCCCAACATTTGGACAGTACTGGATATATTGATACTTCTCCAAGATTTCTAGAAAAATTTAAAAATTTTAATTTAAGAAATTTTCATGTTTCCTGAAGAAATTTAGCAATTACAACACTTAAAAATGTTATAAATGAATGGCATGGTATAATTACCCCAATTTTTAATCAAAACCAGGCTAACTTTTAGCCTTTTTAACCCTTGTGCGGCAAAGTAGGGATATATTTGCAAAATTGTGCGTCATGGAGAACTGGGAATTAAAAACATGCAACTTTTGTACAAAGGCCTAAGGTGGGAAAAAGTCCAACATTTTTCTCTCATTCAGCAGAAAATTTTGGATGAAAAATAAAAAAAAATCCCTCACTTGGTGGCATTTTTTCCTGCATTCCTGGGATAGGATCAGCATGGAAGATTCCTGAAAAGAAAAGAGAATTTGTCTCCCAGATTTTTTCTAACTTTGGCCTACTCAACCTGGGAGAATTTCAGCAACCTTGGGTCAAACTGAAATGCTCCACCCCCCAAAAAATCCAGACTTTGCTTCACACTGGAAATGAACCCTCTGCTGTTGGAGGGCTAAAGATTTTATAGCTCTACTCTTTCTTGGGTTTCCAGAATGAAAGCCTAAATAGAATCTGACAAAACTTGAGTTATAGAGGTTTGGGGTTAAATTATTCAATTTGAAGAGGTATGCAGGTGGCCCATCTCTACAACAAAATTCAAGGGACCGGGAAAAATGTCACTGCAAAGAGATATTCTATGTAGAACACTTTTTATAGCATGGGGAGAGAATCCTATGGGACCAGAATTGTTATACAGGGAATATTGCAGTAGACAATACGATTATTGCCAAGAGAGTGAGAAAGAAAGAGGCAGTCCACCTGTAGAATACATAATCACTAATGGATTTCAAACTGGGACTCAGAAAAAAATCCCACATCATTGAGCCTTTTGAATTAGAAAAGCTTGAATCAGCAAGGTCACCAACTGTGCAAAAATTAATTGTATCATAACTGCTTCGCTTTCTCGTCTCAACCAGCAAAAGCGCAGTGAATCAATAAAACAAACTTTTGAATTGCACATGTCTTCGGAGTGCATCCTGAGGCTCTTTTCCTTTGAAAAACAAAAAAATAATACTGCATTTGCATACTTTTTGGCAGCTTCCACAGCGGCGATTCGGGCATGGGCCGCGGGTTGCGGGGTAACTTCTCCATCACGTGCATCTCCGACGAGGCCTGTCATCACGTGGGCAAGTGCCAGCCGCGTCGTGACGTCGACGACAACCACGCCGGCATGTCGTGTGAGTGTGCCCCGGGTTTCGCCGGGGATCGTTGCGAAGGGTTCGCCGACTGCCCGGGTCGCTGTCATCCGGGTTCCACGTGCGTCAAGGCGGCCCATGCTTCGACCCCGTTCTGCGTTTGCACGACACCCGGTGAGTATTTCAAAAACACAAAGTAAGGTTGAACCTCCCAAACTCCAACCTTTCCAAGTCGAATACTGTACATCCTTACGTCGATTTCTCTCTGAGTCCACGCCGAAATTGCGGTAGAAATAGTGAATTATAAACCTCACTAACCCGGTATTTTTACCACATTTTTATGAACTCACTTTCTTGTCTGTCTTGCTGCACTTGCACGTGCTCAAGATGAACAGCCCATGTGCTACTGCGATTTCGCATATTTTTGCGAAGACGGACCAGGAAATCCTGCAAATATCATTTATCAGTTGGAAAGTTAATGACCACAACACAGCAAAGGCGACACCTGGAGAAGGCGCGCCAAGTGCAAATTGGCGCGCCTTCTCCAGGTGTCGCCTTTCGTCTCCTTTGTTTGGAGCTTGGTGGCATGTTTGCTGTGCTGCATTCAACGGATACACTGTACCGTAGTCGGGTGATTTCGGCCATTTTTTGGATGCGGCAAAATTCCTCTCAGGCATACGTGAAAGTTAGTGTTTACTACTTTCGGCTGCCACCCCAAATCCAAATTTCTGATTCAGAATCGTCTGCAGAAATTATACTATTGTCATTTCATCATGGGGGTAGAAGTTGAAGTGTTGAAACCCGGTGATGGGTCTACGTACCCTAAGTTGGGGCAGACTGTTAGTGTACACTATACAGGCACATTGGTGGACGGGACCAAGTTTGACTCTTCCAAAGATCGCGGCCGTCCGTTCAAGTTTCAGATTGGTCGGGGTGAAGTTATCAAAGGATGGGATGAGGGCGTTAAGAAGATGAGTCTTGGGGAGACCGCGAGATTGACTTGCAGTCCCAACTATGCGTATGGCAGTAGGGGTCATCCCGGCGTGATCCCACCGAATGCTACTTATCTAATCTTCGAAGTTGAGCTTTTGGATTTGAACTGACTTCGGGTTTCGAAGAATGTCTTTTCATCGTTTTTTTGACTCGTAATCTCAAGTTTCTCTGTGATATTCTTGTCGGATTCCTGTGCAGATCATGTTTGAGGATAGCTCATGATTGATTAGTATCTCCCTTCGTTACTCGCGAAGAAGTACAGTAATGACGGTTGTTTTTCGGAACGATTGGTTTCAGGTGGAGTGGTTATTATTCCTTGGCTCTTGAGCAGAACGAAACGCGGCGGCTACTCCTCATGAGATGAAATGTGTTCATCAACGCGAGTAGGAATGTATTTCTCAAATATGCAATTCTCGACCTTCGAGGTTGACTTATCAAACTGAATATTGCTCTAGATTCCTCGTTTATTGACTTGAGTCAAACAGGTTAGAGTGAATTTCGTTACGTACTGAAATATATCAGCAGATGCTTAACTGCAGAGGTGGACACGATAATGTGTCTCGCTTTATTTGACAGTTATAAAGCGGTTTCTTTTCACTTAGATTAGGCTGTTTCATGATCTCTAGGATGTAACGTGATGCATGATGTGTGCTAGAATCGGATGGGAATGGGAAAGGCTTTCCTACGAAATTCAACAAGTGGACGACGAGTTTTTGAGATGTTCAGTACAGTGTTTCAAGAAATTCGGCAACTATAGCAGGTTATACGAAAGCTGATGTTCCCAAATGCGTGGGTGATGCGCACTTCGAGCAGCCTCTTGAGATTCAATGATTTATGGCACTGGGGAGGTTGACGCTAGAAGAGCCCAGGCAATTATGCGAAATTCCTAGATGTTGGTGGCCCAGATTTGAAATGTGATCTTTGTCATTTCTATGCATACGGCAAGAGATGGAAAGTCTTGCTTCTCTGATAAACCATTGCATGTGAGTTGGGTTATTTTGAGAATACGATCGTGACGTAAAATGTCGGAATCAGGTCTCTGACTTTCTCTGCTTCGGTCACCAGTAGTCCATTTCATGGCGTGTGAAAATACCCGGGTGGAAAAACACCCCCTTTTTTTCTAGGACAGAGTGGTGGAGTACCGGATAGTTCTAAGGCTTTGTGATTTCACCTTCCTTATACTTTGTTTTTGAGTTCCGGAAACAAAAATATCCCAAGGGTAGGAGTGGAGAGAACAAGGGGGAAAAAATTATAAGAATATTTTTTAAAAAGAATAAAATAATTATAGTAGATTAAAAAATAAAGGTTATTTTTTCCTTTTTGAAAACGTGGTTTTTTAGATTAATTTTTTAATCTACTAAATTTTTTTATTTATTTTTTGCTGGTTCCTCGAAGTTCCACTTGATGAGGTTCGAATAAATGAATGTTTCAACTGACTGGGAAAGTTCAATGGCAGATGAGGTAATGAACTTTCGTCTAAGACCGCGACAATTAAAGGAAGTTCATTATGCAAAAATGAAATGCAATAGGGACATACTGTAGTATGGCAACGCTTTTCAGAATGACAAATTGATTGATTCTAGATCTCCTGACCATGCAACCATAATACAGTACGTGGTTATAGAGTTTTCTATCACGTGTTCCCTGATATTTGATGTCAAACATACACAGTATTTATTCCAGAAACCAGACAAAAATTGTGAGATACTGTACTGCATCAAATTAAAGGAATCCAAAATCTAAGGAACTGACTCTAGGTTGAGTATATAGGTGGACTCACTCTATAGAAAAATCCTAAAAACCATTTTCTCTGCAAAATAAAGTATTGTTTTTGTCTCATCACAGGGTGCCACGAAAATGTTATTGGGGTTATCTACAAAAGACTTCTCTCTTCCATGAACTTTTGAGTTTTGGTTTAGAGAGAGAAATGAATTGATGGATGAAATGATGGCCACCCATTATTCATGCATTTTTGTGCACTGTGATGTACAGTATTTTCTTTCAATATTGTACTCATATTGTGACTTGATTTTCCTTTTGATATTTTGGAATGTGTTCAGTGAATGTTTAGGGAGATGTGAGAGAGAGAGAGTCTACCTGTATAGTTATTCATAGACCATTAAAACGTTTATCATCAAATTCTTGAATAAATACTGGTATATTTTGAAAATTAAGTATCATGAAAGAGAAAAGATGGAAACCCTTTATACAAACAGTATTTCAAGGAATTTCCAGGCTAGCAAATATGATTTACAGTTTAATCAGATACAGTTATTGCATAAGAATTGCTTCCTTTATGTGGTTTTTTTATTATTTAAAATGTATTGATTTTAAAATGTAACATTTGCAAATTTTGAAAAGAAAAAGGCATTTATTAAAATCAAATTTTTAATGATATGGGAACAGGCTGAACACCTCTTGCTCAAATTTTTTGATCAGTAATTGCCTGTTGATGTGATTAATTTCATATAAAATGATGGCAACCCATTATTCATGCATTTGTGTGTATACTGTGATGTATTTTCTTTCAATATTGTACTCATATTGTGACTTGATTTTCCTTTTGATATTTTGGAATGTGTTCAGTGAATGTTTAGGAAGATGTGCTGAAAAAAATTTGAGCCTACTGAATGATGAAAAACAGCAAATAAAGCTTGTACAGTATACTGCATATCAATCAATCAATCAGGATGCAGTGCTTGTTGCACAATGGCCAAACTTAAAGACAGTTAGACTAATGCCTTTTAACACACGCGGCAAATAATCAAAATGCAGAGTATGGCAAAGTAAATTGTATTTCAGCTCAGACTAGAGGACAAGGGGTTACTGCTAAAATACCAGAGCTGACTGACTCAATCACATTCAAAGAGCCCCCCCCCCCCTGTAATACAGGAAAGAAAGCACCCGCATATCATCATCATGATGCAATAAAATAACTACTGTATTGTTATCCTGGAAAAAGTGTTTGTCTTGTCTTGTACAAAAACCAGTGTATGATAATAAAGTCTTATTGTGAATAATCATACACTCGACTCACAATCCTTTCCAAGTTCCACAGGCCAGGGAGCTAGGGGGGGATAACAGTATTATGAAATTTTCAATATAACCAGATCACCACTTTCAGCTAAAAGAAAACTGCTTTCTGGTCAGGTTTCAACACTGCTAGAAAAAAATATCCATTTGCACCTTGCTTTGCATCAGAAAAAAACAAATACAATAAAAAGAAGTATGGGGCATATAGCATGGTGGAAAAAAAACTAAAATGGAAAATTTTGAACGTTTTTCTACAAGTGCTCAAGAGAATCAAGGAATCAAAAAGTTCAAATCAATGGGAATTTGATGCTGGCCAACAACATTTTCAACGACAATTCTATTTCATTGTTGAAGATTGAAAACCTTTCATTCTAAGAACTCGCATGTAAGGCAGGTTGAAAATTCGGTACACATCAGCATAAACTTGGTAACATTCGAAATCATTAAACTGCGTCAATTTTTTTAATGAGGAAATATCTTTAGTTTCAAATCATATACAGTCAACCACTGATAAGATGCCACCATTTGTCCAGAGTAATTTTGGTGGTTTGAAGAGGTTGGCGGTTTATCAAATATTTAATTTTAATTATTTGATCAACAATACTTGATTTTCCTCCAAAAGTCATAGAGATACAGGGTGTGTATAGAAACTTCAGTAATTTTCTGAAGAATATTGCTGTGGTCCATGGATTATTCTTTCAGAAAATAAAATTTCCTGCATCAATTTATTCAAATTTTAAGATTATGTCAATATAATTTTCAAAATTTTCAATATTATTATTTATTTTTCTTACAAATACAAGATCCTTGGCAGAAATTATAATTCTACCCCAATGTTGGCATTGTAACAAAGACAAAACTAATTGGAAACAGCACTTTTGTTTCATCAATTATGCTGGTGGATGGCGGTTGTCATCTTATTGAGGTTTTCTTTAGACTTTAACATAGAGGAGATTTGTTTCATTCGAAATTTTGGCAGTTGCCACGGGTGGCGCTTTAACGGGGTTTGACTGTATTAAAATAAAGTCTTGTGGCTGCACTCTCCTCAGATGAACAACACCGGGTTGAACCTTTGAAGAAATTCAAAGGGAAAGGTCCGAAATGTTTCCTTATATGGTTTTTTTCTTCTTTCTAGGTTATTTCTCGGATCAAAACGGGGCCTGCATGGACATTGACGAGTGTCAACACGATGTTTGCGACCCGGACTCGACGTGCGTCAACTCGCCGGGGTCCTTTTCCTGCGAATGCAAGCCTGGTTTGCTGGATTCCTCGCCGGCCGCTGCTGGTGCCAAGAACAAATGCATGCACCCGGGTTGCGAGCACCCCTGGGTGTACCACAACGGGTTCTGCTATTGGGCCTCGCAAGAAACAGCCGCCTTGAGCGACGCCAGGGAAAAGTGTTCGGAACTGAACGCCACCCTGGCGTCTGTTTTGGACCCCGCGGAAAATTCCTTCTTGGGTTTCCACGCAGTGCAGTCTCTCACTTGGTGAGCTGTCGTTTTTTTTCGTGATTAAAAGAACTACAGTAATTTAAAAGCTAGCTTTTGTAATAGGCCCTCAGCACTAAGAATGACTGTGAAAGCGAAAAATCCCGCATCTAATGAAATTCTGAAAATGAAATGCCGACTCACTCAGCGATTTTTTTCTACAAAACAAAAATTTTCAATAAAAAATGCATGACTTTTTGCAATGCTGAGATTTAAATTTTGCAGGGAAAAAACTAAAAAGTAGACGTTATGTACAGTATATTATAGCTCCAAAAAAGTCAGCTTTTTTTTTTTTTAATCCAAAAATTCTGATTTGAATGAATGAACAGAAAACTTTATTTGCCGCTTTTCAGCATTCACAAGGCATAACCAGAACTCCTGCATCCAAACCCCCTCCCCACCCAACCCAACTCCACAGCGTTCACAAGGCATAACCAGAACTCCCGCATCCAAACCCCATCCCCACCCAACCCAACTCCCCCAAATACATTCAAGCATTTCAAAGCATGAAACAAAGCACAAACCAATGACAAAAATAAAAGGGAACACACTCCACAAAATAAAACTGGACATCCTACATGTATGTTGCATACACCCACCCATCCCCAATATTGAAGACAAAGCAGCAGTGAAAGTTTATTTAAAGCACAAGGTCTTCAGCCTGTTTCTGTATGAGGTTTAGTTCAATGAACAATTTAGAGAGAATCTTTGATGAGAAATCATATAAGGCCAACAATTTTCTTGATCCTTTAAGAGTTCCAAAAGTGTCTCTTCATTGAATTTCAATAATTTTAAATCTTTCTTAAGGTGATTTCTATCTCTTTGAAATGCTGGACATGAGAAAAGAAGGTGCTCTCGTGATGCACAAACTAATGTATTTATGCTGCAGGAGTTACACCACTTAGAAACCATTGAGAGTTGGATGAATTTTTTACTAAAGTGCCATGAATTTGTTAAAATAGCTATAGCATCATGTAATAATGGGATGTTAGAGGATGCAAATAGTAATGGTTTAGTATTGCCACAAGCAAGAACAGCTAGTAATGTACTTGAGTCTACAACATCACAATTATCATGACAAAATTGAGTTATCAGGATCTTTTCTCTGCCTTTATTGATGTTACACTTGAGAAACTGGACAATATCTTTTCCAGATTTTATTGCACTCAATTCTGGGTACATTGTGGACAATTTAATGTAGAATGTCTTGAACCCCTGTAATTTCAAGTTTATTGTAGTGGGCAGTTTGTTCTTGGATACTGTTAGCTTCCAGAATTCTTTAATTGCTTCAGTTGAAAGTTGATTATTGGCTATTGCCAACCTATGTAAGAACATCAGAAATCAACTGTTTACATTACACACTGCACAACAACATCCAAATAATAATCTAAGAGCTCTAATGCTTCATCATTTTGGCATGTGAAAAAACCATCTGTAAAACAGTTTCTGTAATGTATCCATTTTTCTGCAAAGGCAATTTTCTGGCCATATTTCTAGCCCATATAGTGCAGCTGCCCATACCAATAAGGAGTCAAAAAACCTCAATGCCATTTTTGTGTCTTTTAACTCCAATTTACTTAGAACATTACATAATGTTATTAATTGGGAACATCCTACATTGAAGTTGTTCATGATGTGACTTGTTGCTTGACAACCATTTTGCAAGCAAACTCCTAGGTAAATCCCTACTTTTGAGAGTGTGCAGTTCACCCCATCAATCTGCCATGTCATTCCTGATTTATTTGGATTTCTTACTGCTTTTGACAATAAAATCTCTGTCTTATTAGCATTTATTTTAAGTCTATTAATGTTGCAGTAGTCAACAAAATGATTTAAGATATTCTGCAGTGATAACTTTGAGGTTGCTAGTACAACTGTATCATCTGCAAATTGCAGAACATTAACTTGACAGCGGTACCAATGTCTATAGCTCCTGAGCCAACCATATTAAATTTGGATAGATCACTTACAAAGAATAAAAACAATAATGGTGATAAGCAGGAACCCTCTTTTAATCCATGATTTGCTGTGAAGACTGAGGCTTTCTTGTTACCAGTGATAACTTGGAACTCAGTTTCATCATACAAACTTGCAAGTGCTTTCAAGAATTTGAAGGATACCCCTAAAAGTGATAGTTTGCAAAATAAAATTTGCCTGACAACAGATGGGAAAGCTTTAGCAAGGTCAAGCAGTGCTATAAGTATTCCCTCCTTGTAACTTTTAGTTCAACAGATCAGTTCCATGATGAAGACATTGTCAATTGTTAATCTTGCTTTGCAAAATCCAGCTTGGACATCAGGAAATAAATGTTTGTCTTTAGACCATTGTAACAGCCTGTCAGCCAGTAATTCTTCATATATTTTAAGAGATCTTTCTCGGAAACTAATTCCCCTGTATGAATTTGCATCTGATGTTTTTCCTTTCTTTTTATATAAGACTGAGATGAATCCATTGTTCCATCCTAATTGGCAGGGTTCTTTGCCATTGAAAATTTTGTTTATGTGTTTTGTGAACCATTTTAATCTTGAGGGACATTGTATGAAGTCCTTCCAGTGTTCATAAGGAATGCCACTAGGCCCTGATGTCTTCTTGTATTTTTTGCCTTTAATGACTGTTTCTATTTCTTCCTCTTTAAATGGCGCATCCAAGAAGTGATCAACTCTTCCTGCTGCTGTAAAGTAGTCAAATGGTGAAAGACCTCTGTTTTCCTTGTACATGACTTTGGAAAAATGCTTTGACCATTCATTGCCAGAAATGGAAGGGTCAATTACATTCACTATTTTCTTTTTAAGCATTTTCCAAATCTTCAACAATGATTGTTTCTTTGAATTTAATAAATGATTAAATCTGCATTTATTTTCTTCTGTATTCAGTTTCACCTTGCTCTTGTGTTAATTTGTACCATTCTTTTCTCAGGAGCTGGTATAGAACTTGATCACATACATTACCACTTCATTTAAAATGTTGGAAGCTACCCCTCATTCTTGCCCTCACAAATTTAATTTCCTGTTTAAGGTCATGTGCATTTCCTTTCAATGCTTTATGTATCATTATTTCTTTCGACAAGCTCTTATTTTGGACATATAATATCCAAGTGTTTAGAGATTGGTTGGCACTCTCATTACCAGAATCTTTCCATAGGCTTATAATGCTGGGAATACTTAATACCTTCCTAGAGTTACAAATAGATATCTTATTGTTTTTTGGTACTTGGAAAACTAGTGCACAAATGAAAGTGAAATGGTATGAACAAGTGAATGGAAGAATGTTAAAGTATAGAATCCTTGTTAGAAAGACTGATGAGACAAAGAAAAAATCTATTGCTGAATGGTTTTCATTCCTGAAAAAAGTAAAGGGTGCTGGATGAATATTTCCATTTGAATTTGGGAAGTTTCTGTTTACAGTTAACATTTGAAGGTCTTGGAGTGCTAATATTAACTCCTTTCCTGGTTGGTTTATTCTAATATCTAAAGATGCTGAAGGGACAAAGTTAAAACCTGAATCCAAAGGTTTCAAGCCTCTGGAATCTCTAATTCTTGCATTGAAATCCCCTGCCAGAATTATGGCTGAAGAAAAGTTCAATGCTAAATGGTAATCTGATCTCAATTGTGCAAAGAATTTTTTTATCTAATCTGTTTGCTAAACCTGGTTGCCTGTATATATTACCTATCACAAAAGTTTCACCTAGTAAATGAGAAAACATGACCCAAAGAGTATTTGAGTGAATTAAAATTCTTTGTGAGGTCCACCCATCAATTTCTAGTTTGCTAAACCTGGTTGCCTGTATATATTACCTATCACAAAAGTTTCACCTAGTAAATGAGAAAACATGACCCAAAGAATATTTGAGTGAATTAAAATTCTTTGTGAGGTCCACCCATCAATTTCTTTAACATATGTGGCAACACCACCAGAACTGTGTCCCTTTTTGCTTATTTTCTTGTTGGGGATGCAGTAGGCTTTATATCCTTGGTACTCTTTGACTTCTTGTGCATGAGTTTCTTGAATGCATGCCACATCAAATTTCCTCAACCAAGGGAACTTAATGTTTCTTGAAGAGTTACAGTTCCATGTTGCAATCCAATCTTCATATTTGCTATACAGGAAGAGAAAAAAAAGCTAAAATGAGATTAGCATAAGGGTGAAGTTTACTAAATTCCAATTCTCAAGTAATCAATTCAAGATACAAATATAAGTAACCTCATTTTTTCCACAAGATTATTTCTGGTTTTTTTTGCTTTTCTTTCACTATAATAGACCTAGATGACAAAAAATTATTTTTGGTTGATGATCCTACATAGTCTACTATATCCTCCACTGGAACTATGAACCCATTAGGAGATCTAAGTACACTTAACAGAAAATCATGCACATCAAATTGGAAAGCCCCAAAGGTTGGCCTGCCATTTTCTACTCTCATTTCTACCTCTGGAGCCTCATGTTTAAGGTATTCCGCAACTAAAAACATTTGTGTAACAGCCTGTCTCAATTTCTCTGTCCTATTTTCTTGTACAGTAATCTTAGCATAAGCTTTGGTTTTGAATTTGTGAGCAAAAAAATTTGTGCAGACTGAGTTTGCTGCTTTTTTCATGAAATTCTACCTGCAATGCCTGTGTGTTCAAGATTTGTTCACCAAAGCAAATCACTTTCTTCACTGTAACTAATTCATGAACACCAAGATATGTCAAGATAACTTCATCTGATTTTTCTGGCTGAAAAGTTTTACCAAGGGGAATTCCAAACATCACCACTGAATTGAGTAATAGTTGATTTTCTTGGAAGTCCTCCCTTTTATTTTTTAAATGTTCCTCATATTGTTCCCATGAGGAAAGGCTAGATAAATCTACCTCTTCTCTCAACTTCCTTTTTAATGTAGATTGTGTTAGCATTTGTGATGCATTGAATGTGTCTATACCGTTTGAATTGAGTAATTTGTCCACTTGTTCACAAAGTTGCTGAATTTCTTCTACCATCAGAGATATTTGCTCACCTTGTGTAATTTGCCCAGTCTGTAGTTGGTTGATGTCTTCTTCTCTGGACTCAAGGCATTCAAAAACATCTTTTACATCTGTTTTTATTGTCCTTATACTTTTCTCAAGCTTGTTCAAAGTATTCTGTGTAATTTTACCCTGTTTTTTCACTGTGCTCTGGACTCCTTGTATTGCTATCATGAGGTCTCTAGCAGTTGGTTCAGATATTTCTTTACTCAGAATACCTTTCCTCTTTTTAAGAGCAGGTTGTTTATCATTATTTTCATTTACATCAATATTTGGATCTGTGTCTTCATCAGAAGCTACCAATGTGGATGTGGAAGAATTTAGATCTTCATCAGTAGTGTTATTCTTTTCTATTGTTTTCTTTCTTCTTAACCAATGATCTAAAACCTTTTTAGCTTCTAACTTTTGTTTTGCTGCAAGAGTTTTTAAAGCTGTAGAGATTTCATCATTCTTTGCTTGTTCTTCTGCTTCTAACACTTTGTTTCTAAAATGTTCAATTTTTTTCTCAACATATTCGAGATCCTCATGGTCTGGGCCAGGGTTCTCTTCTATTCCAGCTTGTATTAAAGATGAGCTGATTCTGGAAGATCTCTGTTGGAATGACTCTGAATTTATGGTGCCATATTTGTCCAGCTCAGAGTTTCTTGGATTATACAGCCAATGTGCATGTGAACCCAAGGAAGCCAGTTTTTTAGGTCTTCATTGCACCCAGTTTGCAGATACTGAGTTGCTGCCACCAGCTTGGCCTCATATGCTTGTAAAATGTGTGAGTGGTATGAAGGTCTCTGCTGATACTGTGGATTCTCATTCCCTTGAGGAACATGAGGCTTTTTTTTCTAGAGCACCCATTACTTGAGTGTTCATTTGAATCCCTTGACAAAGAAGAAAAGCATGGTGACATAGTACCATTTTTTAGTTTTGGTTCTGTGGACCTATTTGTATCCCCATGATGTTTCAGTTCTTTCATCAAGATGTATTCCAGATTTGTCTGGAATGTTGAGGAATTCACATTCTTTGTTTCTGGGTGAATTAGAACAGGCTTTAACTCTACAATGGCTTTGTCCCTCCTCTGCTGATCCTGATGACAGTGGGCATTGTGGATGAGGGTCTGTTTCCTTTGCCAGTAGCTGTCATGATTGATGTCTCCAGAAGATGATGAGGAGGGAGGGCAAGATCCCATCTTGTAGCCCTTCTTCTTCCTTGTTGGGAGACCTGAGAGATTTAAAAGTTCCAGACCAGTAACATGTTCTTGGTTCAAAGTTTTGGACAATATGCTTGGATTTTTTTGAGTAGGGCATCTGACGTTTGAAAGGGGACAATTGTTTTGTTTTTGACTTACAAAATTTGTCAGGGGCAGACAGCAGAAGCCCACAGCGGATAATTGGCAAATTTTGCCAATAACCCGCCCCCTGAAGCACCTTGAAACTCCTTGTCGTTGTATCTTACTCCCAGAAACATGCCTCCATCCATGGAGCTTAGGGACCATTTTTGCGTAGCACTGCACAACAGTTGTACACCATGTTGGGGGAGCCTCAGTGAGCACAAATTCACAGAAATCCACAAGAGGCTCCCCAACAAGAAGCCCCACAATCACAGAAGTAAACACCATGAATCAAACCCCAAGCATGGCTCTTTCCATTGTTTTGAGGCACCTTTGGCTTCCAATCATTTTGGACCAACCCTCAGTTGTTGCACCCATCAAAAGTCATGGTGCTTGGATCACTTTTGAGCACTGAAGAAAGGTTCTCTGCTGCCCAGATGGCTGGGGAAGTAAGAACTCCTTGGAAACGCCTTGTGCAATCTTTCTGCTCCTGCTGGGTAGTTCCTCTGCCAGTTCTTATACACTCCACAAAATTGCGGTCTGTTGTGGGGCACGTTGGTATGTAGGTTTCTACCAACGATTTGCAGCCCTCTTTTATTCTTTCAAATAACGAGGAGTAAATGGTTGAATCAGATAATCACATGTTCATATATTTCAATCAACACAGATTCTTGGTCATCAAGAAATAGAAACGCTCGCAAACGACATCACTGTACTCAGGAGTACGAAGGCGTAGCGCATCAGCATATTCTCCCAACACAGGATTGGTGTCTAAGTTGTGCGTAACAAAATGTTTCCATTGTAAATTTTGCCCAGTTCCACACATTATACGTGCATGGAGTCGGTCGACCATGGTCGGGTCAGTAAACAATGAGTAGAGCCGTACGTTGTTCGATAGCATCGTAGCTTGCTGGTTGCCACATAACGCATTCATCGTCCACCAGGTGGTACCAGTTAAGGCGTTGCTTATAGTGGCAAGCTGGGTGATATGATCTTGTTCAAGAACTTTCATCCACTTGATGAATTTGAATCTGATGACTTCGAATCTCTTCGGAATGCCATCATTTCCAGGGTCAGGTGTAGGCATCGGACAGAACGTTTGAGTACATCCATTCATTTTAACTCTGCCGAGTCCGTCCCATAAGGTCGCAATAACCTTAGGATACATGACTGTTCTGTCGGGCGTCGGACACCATTCAATAGATGGCCAACACACAAGAGAGCGATACTGCACGCACAGACGTTGATATTGTCCGTACTTGCAAGCAAGTAGCCATTCGTTTCGGGTCAGCATTGGAGCAACCACCGCTTGCTGCGTCTTATTGTAGTGCTGCTGAATAATAAAGTCATAATAACATCCATAGAAGTTATCAAACTCATCATTCGCAATTTGACGATAAAGCAAGTTGAATTGTGGCATCCACGTTGATCCAATCAGAATATTTTCCTTCGTTGCTGGAGTGTCGCGGTTCTGGAGAACGAGTTGGCCAACATCAGGTCGGTAAACTTTTCTCTCCGGAGTACGATCTCTGCGAACGGCGGGAGGTTCAGGTGTATCTCCCTTACGCTTCTTGGCTGAGCGAGAACCTGTAACGGGTGGTTGGAGCCCGCTAGGGCCTGCTTCTTGATTATCGACTTGCATTGCAGCTGATGAACCGGCTGTGACAGACATAATGTTCACTTCAGTTTGGATCTGAAAGGATAAATTAGTTTGATCAGGACGAGTCCTTACAACCGTATACGAGGGTTCTAACAAAAGTTCTTGGAGTAACAATGAAAACGGCATATAATTGAACTGAAAAAAAATTATTCTTCAGGGAAAACACATTATTTGGCACACACACAAAAATTAGCCTGGTTTGACAATTTTTTTTAATTTTTTTGCAAAATGCATCCCAATAGAGTTTTGCTCTCCAACTCAAAAGATGAGGCGCCCTTTTTTATTGTAGCCCAGCTTTCCCCTCAGAATTTTTGAAATACACGTGGCATTCATGCCAAGGGTTGCCTTCAGGTTATTGAAGGTAATTCCGCCATTTTCATCAACAGCCGCCTTCACAGCCGCCACATTGGCCACCACTTTGGCGGTTGTGAAGGCGGCTGTTGATGAAAATGGCGGAATGACCTTAGACGACCTGGAGGCAACCCTTGGCATGAATGCCACGTTGATTTCGAGAATTCTGAGGGGAAAGCTGGGCTACAATAAAAAAAGGGCGGCTCATCTTTCGAGTGGAGAGCAAAACTATATCCGGATGAATTTTGCAAAATATTAAAAAAAATTGTCAAACCGGGCTGATTTTTTTTGTGTGCCAAAGAATATGTTTTCCCTGAAGAATAAATTTTTTTCAGTTCAATTGTACACAATTTTCATTGCTACTCCGAGAACTTTTGTTAGAACCCTCGTACACCTGTGCTAACATATCAGTGTAAATGAATATCGGAACTAACAAAGTTAGTAGAAGCAGTTGTATTTGCTTATAACCGACACACTGAAACAATGTAGAAGGAGGGAAGTAGCGGTAGGAAGCAAAAGCTTCCACCTTTATTTCAAATTCTGATTTAAAAATGAGCTGTTTTAGTAGGTCCCAGCTTAACAAATTACTTGGATAGCGAAAACCCCGCATAACGAAATTCCGAAACCGGCAAGTTACTCACTCAAAAAATTTTTTTTTTGGCAAAATGAAAATTTCCAGACTGAAATGCATGACTAGAGAAATTCCTAGGTTTTGAACTTCGGGTTTTAAAAAAATGAAAAAATTAGAGTTTTCATCTTCAAGCTCCAAAAAGTAGTAAATGTAAGACAGTAGAATTTTAAAATTTTCAGGATTACTTCGATTCGAAATACATAGAATGTCAGAATTGATTTTATTTAAATACACAGCCTTTGCTGCAATAAATGAGACACAAATTTTGAATCTTGAGCGTATTTAGTAGCTCCAACAAAATTAGCAAGTTTTGGTAGATCAAAAATATGATAAAGCTATTAGACAGGGATATAAAAACCCAAAATTTCTGAAGAAGATCTTGAAATCAATCTTTTATCGAGTCCCAACAATAATTGAAAATTTAACACACAAGTATAACGTTTGAAAAATCGCACGCAGCAACGCACTGATTCTTCTAAATTTGTTTCTTTCTTATTTTTTATTCTAGTTTCAAGATAATTAACCTTCGAAGTACTTTTTGGTAGAACCATTCAAGTTCAACGCTCCTTGATCGAATGATATGACATTTTTATTTTCATGAATATTTTTATAGTTGTTCAAGACAATATAGTAAATCAATCAGGTCGGGCTAACAAGGTTAAAAATGAAGAGAGGCTGTCAAAACCCGTCTAAAAATATTTAATAGTTTTTTGAATAACAATACTGTATTCTTATCAATTCAATCTGAATCAATGAGATCATGGTACAATCGTGCCAACAGCAAAAAAGAAATGAGACCTTGCTTTTGATTTTTATCGTTTGCAACAAATCACACGCATAAGGATAATGAACGACCAGGTGGACTTCAAAAAACTCATTTAGATTTTTCTTTTTAGCTCGATGAGTAATATGATCACTGTAGATCGGTTTAATACCTTGATTGCAGCTCATACTAATTGTTTACTTTTTAAAATGCGTCGGCCTTTTTCGCTTCTACACTCTTTCGGCATAACATCATGGACAATAAAGGAACGGCTTTCGAAATCTTTTTTTTATGTTTTCGAGGAATCGAAAGAGGTATAATAACATGGAGCAAAATATTTTTTAGCCAAAATTTTGTTTTCAGCGAGCTCGAGTATATGCACATTGATAACAAAAATGCTGATAAATATTATCAACCTGAACGAATGCAAGCAGAAACTGCTTGGCCCCGAATTAAAACTTTAAAAGTAATGCGTTCGTGAGTGAGAAATGACTTACCTAGAATAAATTTTTGAGCAATAATGCGTGACTTAATTTCCAAGTTTGGAATTTTTTACTATTTTGCACCTCATGCTGCAAAAAGACATCTTTAAAAAAGTTTGAAAAATCTTGCCGTTTAAATGCTGTTACAATAATTATATCTCTCCTCCACGAAGAAGTGCTGATTTAAAAAAAAAAAGTGAAACCTCATTTGTTCAGGATTCTTTTTTTTTCTTCCAGGATTGGACTCTCTGATGAGCAATCAGAGCAAATCTGGTCCTGGGACGACAAGAAAAAATCTAAAAAGAAAAATCGAGCTACTCATTATACTAGTGACATCTAGCCAAATTATGGAACTAACGTCGAGTATGATTAACAAATGAAAAATTTTACGCAGCCGGAAAAAGCGAAGATGTGAGAAAAGGCATAACATCATTGACAATAAAGGAACGACTTTCGAAATCTTTTTTTATGTTTTCGAGGAATCGAAAGAGGTATAATAACATGGAGCAAAATATTTTTTAGCGAAAATTTTGTTTTCAGCGAGCTCGAGTATATGCACATTGATAACAAAAATGCTGATGAAAATTATCAGCCTGAACAAATGCAAGCAGAAACTGCTTGGCCCCGGATTAAAACTTTAAAAGTACTGTAATGCGTTCGTGAGTGAGAAATGACTTACCTAGAATACTCCTATAAATTTTTGAGCAATAATGCGTGAATTAATTTCCAAGTTTGAAATTTTTTTACTATTTTACACCTCATGCTGCAAAAAGACATCCTTAAAAAAGTTTGAAAAATCTTGCCGTTTGAATGCTGTTACAATAATTATATCTCTCATCCACGAAGAAGTGCTGATTTAAAAAAAAAAAGTGAAACCTCATTTGTTCAGGATTCTTTTTTTTTCTTCCAGGATTGGACTCTCTGATGAGCAATCAGAGCAAATCTGGTCCTGGGACGACAAGAAATCCACGAAGAAGTGCTGATTTAAAAAAAAAAAGTGAAACCTCATTTGTTCAGGATTCTTTTTTTTTCTTCCAGGATTGGACTCTCTGATGAGCAATCAGAGCAAATCTGGTCCTGGGACGACAAGAACCCGTCCACCTTTCGGAATTGGGGACCTAACGAGCCCTCGGGTGCCGGGGACGGGGCAGTGATGTACCCAAACCAGTGGACACACTCGGATTGCAATGAGAAAAAGCGGTTTCTGTGCCAAGCCCGGGTTCCGAGCTGCCGGTGCAGGACCATGGTGCTGAACCCTAGTTTTTTCACGATGAAACGAAGATCAAAGTGGCGTCTAAAGCTCGCTAGGGCTTTTTAGACGTTTATGAACCGCTCACCGCCGCTAAACCGCTGCAAGTGCGCTGAGGAAGCCGCTGGAGTTTTCAATCGGGAATTCTGGGCTAATAATTACGCAGATATCGGTGAGGAAATCTTTATAGCCATTATTTAAAAAAAAATCTGAATGTTGATGGCTGAAAGCAGGGGAAAAAGCATAATTTATTCTCAAAAAAATATTTCATCTACCTGTACGTGGACATTTCTAGGTTTAAAAACTGAGGAAACACAACCACCACAAAAAATGGATAGGTTTTTAAAGTGTTTTCCCTCTGAAATCATTTCAGCCATTTCTTCAAATGAAGTCAGAACATTGTGGCAATGCCTCTTATAGGTCACTATCCAATGTCTGTGATCCAGGAGACATTCCCCCAGGACATTGGCCACTGCATGCCAGATTGGGTTTCCCAATGCACACCAGAGTATGCTTGCCAACATGAGCCAGATTGCATTAGCAAACACAATATACAGCATCCCCTGGGCCATATGAGTGAGAGTCAGCCACCTTCATGTCTAGCAATGCACCCACAACCTAGGTCCAATGCAAATAGTTATGCTACTTCTCCAAAAAATGAGGTACCATATATTTACTCGAGTACCACGTGCACCTTTTTTCCCAAATTTCAGAAGAAAAAAGGGATGCACGTTACAAAATTTTCAAGAAGTTTTAGGAAGTTATGTTTGCATTATACTCAATTATAATGGAGAAATTTGGAACAAATATAAAAAGAAAAAATTTTTGTATTGAAAAAGTTGAAAATTCATCAGATTTTTGTTCAATTCATGCCTAAAGTTAATGTTTTTGTTTTTATTTTTGAAGTTTTATGGTTTTAGATTTACTAAAAATTGGGGTGCATGTCTTACTTGGAGATAAGTTTTTTGCAAAATTTGCATCTGAAAAACCCCGGTGAGTGCCTTACTTGAGGGTGCGTGGTACTTGAGTAAATATGGTATATTCATATTCATTTAGATTTTAGAAAATCATGAGCATGAATATTTTTGAGATGAAAAAGGAGTTCATGAATTCACTTTTTATGTTAAAAACCTCTCCTACATTTCAATCATTCAAAATGCACACTTCTTTCTACCTTGATGAAACAGTTCTAGAAATATTTTCTCTTCAAAACTATTCAACTTATAAATGAACATTTGTTGCAACATTCAATAAATTTTCTGTAAAAATGCAGGACCAAACTTATTCTTGCAGCTGAATTCAGCTTTGAAGAATTCTTACTGTTCATAAATAAGCAATATCTAAAATGTGACTCAAACTTTGAAGATCCTGAGCAAGTTTGCTAATTGAGATAGAAGGGCATCTAAAAAAGCAAATGTTTCCCACAATAAGGCCTTTCAAGCTTTCTCCTGGTGCCCATGTACCCTTGTACTCAACATTGCAGGTAAACTGCTGATGTAACTGCAATGTTCAGGGATGTACTTGCAGTAATGTTAATGTAAACATTGCAGGTGCATTGCCTCAATTAAGACTCACATTTTCAAGGATATCTCAGTGTAAATTTGCTCAATGCCTTGGCATTGCATATGTTCAAGGATACTTTAAAATGGGCAGGCACATTTTCCCCCAAAACGCTGTGTGTACCCAACAGGAATGCAATCCACAATGCCTTTCATCATTGCCTCATCTCCAACTTTTTGGATAGCACCCTGACCACATGTGCTGCATTGCCTTGCTCAAAATGCCAAAATACAGGACAATAGCTTGAAATCCTAAGGCATGGCAGTACCCCAGTGTCTGGCAGCCCAATGCTCCCAGTATTTGCTGGGATGGAGATTTACAATATAGCACAGAATCAGAATTCGAGTAGACATGGTCTTGTGCAATCTCTTTTTTTTTTTTTTACATAAAAATAAACCCCACAGAAAGATTTGCCAAATGATCACACAGAAAGATTGAAATAGTTATAAGTTTTTCGAATTAACTTCAGAATTAACCTTCCAATTAACTTTAGGGATGCGAATCCGCACTATTTTTTTTAAGAATTACAATTTGAGAGCATTTCATAATTGTTTCAAAATGTCCATTAGAAGTTTCTGGCCCACAAAAAATCAAAGGTAAAAAAGTATAGGTAATGTAGAGCCATAATTAAAGCTTCCATTGCGGGTAATGACCTAGCCTCACTCCTCCCTTTTGTCGTCAGTTAGGACCAGGACCCAAGTTAGGCTTGGGCAGGTTAGCTTGGGCGAGGAAACCTACAGCGACTGGGATTTCCCCGGGCAAACTCAAACAAACCTGGCGTTTCCCAGATGTGGGTTCGTTTTCCCCACAAAGTGGAGCGATGTCGACGTCAACCTCGGCGGTTCTGAGTCGTCAGGTCAAACGTTGCTTCCAGCATTTTTTTGTAAACGATTCGCCCCGGAAATCAAGAACAACGACACGGAAAATCCCCTGGCATTGAGTGACGTCAACAACAATGCCGACACTTATTTATGAAACATTTTCTATCAATTCAATTTGCTGGAAAAATCCAGATTTATTTATTTTTCTTTTTACCCTCAAACTGAATGGTTATTTCCGACGCATCCCACTGGTCTCGAAAATAAGATCCACAAGTATCTTCTCAAAGTACATGAGTGACGCTTCTGACAAACAAAGCTGGCTTGCCTCAATGTTCCACCCGTCAGATCATTTCAACAAGTCAATGTTGGGCAAAAAGAAAGTTCCTGGAATCCTGCCCGACATAAGGAAATCCGTCTTCAGAAAAGCAGGTTCTTCCAGATGAAATGTTAACCACAAGATGATAAAATCAATTCTCAAAAGATGTAAGTGGCTTTAAAAATCTGTGTTGTAATTATATTTGATTATTACTCACCCATGAATAAGTTTTGCCCACCTTTGCCTAGGATGGAAATGCATCTCTGCAGAAGCTGTTTTTAGTGATCAATCAACACAATATAAAAATCCACAATGGACACAAATTTAAATTTTGGATTGAATAAAAGGTCAAAATATGAAAAAAGCCAAGTAGAAAACAATTTCAGTTTCTTGTAAAGATCAAGTTTCTTGTCCAATGATGATGCACAGATTTTTTTAATTACAGTGAGACCCCAAGATGCGGACATAATTGGTGCATCAAGAGCATCTGTAAGTCAAATTGTCCCTAAGTCAAGTCTTGTTTTCCCATGGACTTACATTATTTAATTTTTAATTGGTGTTTTATAGGAAAAATATTCTTCAGAATTCCGTGAAAAAATTTATTTGCCACTTGAATTTGAATTAATGAATACATTTTCAACTCAATAAGAACATTTGGAGAATTGAATAGTGTAGAATTGAATAGTGTATCTCTGTACTGATGTACATTGAAATGTTGGTATCCACAATAATAACATTTGTGAAAAAATGTAGAAGTCCCTCTATGCTAGAGGTAATTTTTAAAATTAGCTAAATGGCTGTTGAATTGGTGAAATGCACAAGAACTTTTCTCACAGCAATTTTAGGGTTGAAAATGTCTGTTTCTTGTAATTTGGCCTGAAATTTATTTGCAATTCTATCACAAAATGTCCTTAAGTTGAGTCAGTGTCCTCATGTCAGGCTTTTTTATTAATTTTTTCAGGGAAAATAAGTGACCCTATGTTGAATTGCCTGCAGGTTGGGGTGTCTGCATCTGGGGCCTCACTGTATTTCATAGTGTGCTGAAATTTTTTTAATAATCTGAAGAAGATTGAAAAATATTTTATAAACTTTTTAATATTTACTAGGAATGGATTAACAGAAAACTTTATTTTCTGCTTTATAGTATTCACAAGGTTCAATCAACATTCCCATGTCTGAACCCCCTCCCCACCCAACCCAAATCCATTCAAAGGCATTCAATCCCTTCAGAATGGGAAACTGAGAAAATAGCTGCATATGGATAACAAAAATAAAAGAAAATGCATTCCACAAGATACAACTGATGTGTAATGTGTACACCCCTTCTTTCCCTGAAATTGAAAACAAAATATCAGTAACAAGAATTGCAGCATGAGCCAGAATTAAAGCAATTGCAGCAGTTATGGAGCCCAATAAAGCACAAGGTCTTCAGCCTTTTCCCAGATATGGTTTAGTTGAATGAAAAATTTAGAGAGAATCTTTGATGAGAAATCATGTAAGGCCACAATTTTATCTTGATCCTCTATCATTTCAGAAGGGATACTATTTTGTAATATTTACTAAATTTTCATAATTCCTTTAGACTTTTTATACCACACAGAACTGAGAGAACCCTGGTAATAAGACCAGAATTTGTCACAGGGAAAAAAATGAGGACTTTGTAAAACATGGTACAAAGTAGCATCTGCTGAAGAAAGTCTGGGAAAAGCTTCTTTATCCTTATTCACATAGTAAATCAACCTAAGCCAAACTTCTCAAGGCTAGAAACAATTGGCCACTATACAGTACAGATTAATAAACATTTTTTTTTAATTCCTCTTCCTATCTTTGTATTTTTCTCAGATACTCGTTTATGAGCTCTTGCGTTTGTACAAATAATATCCCAAGGACTCCTTCACAGCTCCCTATAGAAGCAACCAAATACTGTGGCACACCAAGCCTGGAGTCCCTAACAGACCCCAGACTGCTGAATAAAATACCGCAGCTGCAAAACGCGCTGAAGTACTTGCTGAAGCCAGACAGAACCCGGTTTGTCGTCCTTCCCACGTCCCATTATCCCTGGCGCGAGCGAAAGCTTATCCGCACGCTACACGCGGTTTCGTTTCGATTTTCTCATTTCGTTCCTCTAGTGTTACAGTATTTTGTTTTTATGCGTCTCGGGAAGTAAGAGGAAAACAAAACTAGCAACACGAAAAATAGAAAATAAAACTAAGGAATGGAGAAGCGGGACGAATGGGAAGAGGGGGTGGAATAACGCCGGGTGCACAGTCTGGTTCTGTGAATCCCGGTTCCGGAATGCTGGGTGTAGCTCATTTCCAGCAGCTGTTTTTTTCCATTGCATGTTTTACTGCTATGGGGTATGTGTGCCAAGGAAAAATGAGACTGCCTTATACTCATCAAAGCAGTAACAACATTATATCTTACCTAATAAAATAAGGTTACTTGCCTATAGTAGGACAGACAGATTTAAACACCCTCCCATCTAAGCCCATACCTCCCTCCCACAGATCCCCAGAGAGACATGCAGGAGAGTGGGTTTCCTATTTTTTAAACTCTAAAAATGTGGCAAAAATTGAATTCTCATGAAACTTCAAATTTCTTCAATTGTAGCAGGTACCATTCAATTTCCAACATATCCTTTTTTGCACATTTCAAAAGGTATTGTCTCAAGTTGGTGAGCAAATTTGATTCAATTGTTGATCAGACATTTACAATGCTTTTTTTGTATAAATTGCTCAATCCAATGTTGACAAGGGTTGGAGATTTAAATCATTTTCTGCAACTTCCTGAGGAAAAAGATTTGGTGAAGTGCACAAAAAAGTCTTTATAATTGAAAGAGCGTGCTTTTTGAACTACATTTCTGCATCTTCACCTGAAGGTAAAATAAATTTTTCCTTTTGTACATTCTCAGTGACCTTCCTTCCCACTTCTCTTCCCAAACAAATCTTCCTATTGTTGAAGGGATGGGAGAACCCTGTTAGCCACTTCAGAACCCTGTTAGAATCAGGAGAGAGGGAGGAAGCAGTTTCAGCATTACTCAGGGATGATCCTTCATTTTCCAACTGATCCTGAAGTTCTCACTATGCTCCTTCAAAATTGGGTAGGACTAATAATTGGGAGTATAAATATCATCAAATATTTTTCTGCCTCAACAGATGAAGAATGCACACAATTTACATGTGAAAACAGTTGTTGGTTAGTACATGAATCCATGAATGAGTGCAACTGGGTGGACGCTGATACCTTCCTTAATTAAATTGTCTGGTTTTCATCTGTTCACCAGCAACAATGTGTGAAATGGAGCAATACATTCATGAAACAGGCATCATTTGAAAGCGTTGCAAATGGAACAGTTGAAGAGGAAGAGAAGGTGTGATGAGTGATGACTGATGTGTATGTGTGTAGCAGTAAAAGTAGAACATGGTTTGCATCCAGCAAAAAGTTGGGCATTACAAATCTTTGGGCCAATTACAAATCTTTGAACATCTTTACAAATCTCTGCACCCATTCAGTAAAGCATTTACTGACCCATTCAATTCACTCCTTCCAAAATCAAAATGGCTATACTGCTGGACTTTATTTTCTTGTTCAATTACTGTATAGTATTTTGATTTGACCAACAAAAAATTCTGCATTGGAGGAATTAATTTGCTCTTTTGAACAAGCCTTTTTGCAGTGTTGCATACTGATATTGATGCATCAAATTCTATACCAAAAATTTTAGACTGTTTTATAGAGCTTTGACCTTCAAATGCTTTTTTCAATTTTTTAATACCTAGGAGAAGCAATTTTGTCTTGGGAGTGATAAAATCCAGAAAATGGGTGGAAAGGCTCTCCAACATTGAATTTATGACAGTTTTTTATGCGTCTATAAGGTTATTTAAAGCATAATATTCTGAACTCCCCTTTACCGAAATAAAGCACAAATATAAATAAGCAAATGCAATTAGTGTAAGGGATAGTCGTCCCCGTTGTACCGATAGTCGCAATACCCGTTATATAAATTAATAAAAGAACGCTGCCGCTGCGCAAAAAATCCCGCAACGGGAAATCCTGTT